CCACTAATTTTTGTAGAGATGGGGTCTCACTATGTTGCTCAGGCTGGTCTCTAATTCCTGGCCTCAAGCGATCCTCCCACCTCGGTCTCCCAAAGTGGTAGGATTATACGTATGAGCCATGCAATGGGTCCCAAACACCTATTTAAAAACACATTTGCCCTTAGGCCGGGGTTGATGATAAAACAATCAAACAAACAAATAAAAACAAACAAAAAAACACATTTCCCTGCATTGTGTTTTCTGAGTTCATGCTCTGTTGGTCCAGAGACAAGAGTAAAATGCCCCATTTTATGGGCTTCAGCAACATTTAATATGGCAGCAAGGAGCCCACAGGACCTAAGATCCAGTCTCTCAATGTGGGAGGTCGCTCTTCGACTCCCTGCTGACTACCTGTCCCCGCCAATGGCCACGCCCTCATAGACGCCATCTGTGGTGCGAGAGATGATGTTGTTGAGCTCGTTGGACATGCCTCCGGAGCGGGACACGTAGGCCACGCTGCCTGGGCGGTACAGCTTGGAGGCCAGGATGTTGTCCAGCATCCCACCGGTATTCCCAATCTTAAAGCACCCAGGCTTGATGCCTCCAACCTGTGGGGCAGAAACATCAGTCAGGGAGGAAAGTGACTTCCTGGTTCACCACAGGGCTCAGAGGAATCATAAAGCCCCTGTGTTACCTGCCCAGCCCCTCTGGCCAGGTGTGGCAGACACTGGCCAAGAAAACCTACCCATTGAGTTACCTGCATAGAAAGAATCTCTTCTCTCTCTCTCTCAAAAGACATTACATAGGAAAAAAGAGAGCCTTATTTGTAAAACATGGCTCACTACTTATACAGGTAAGTATACTTAAAAAAGGTAAGGCCCTTTCCTTGCTCCAGAGGGGCTACAGCATCCAGCAAAGGCAACAGACCTGTGCCTCTCTGCTCAAAATGACTCCCTGCCTCCGAGACGAAAGGTCCCTTGCTTAGTTCAAAAATCCTAGCTTCGACTTTTTAATGCAATAGGTAAGAAAAAACAAACAACAAAAACATTCAGAGCTTATGGGTTTTACACGAAGACCTTTTGGTCAAAATCAAGGCCTCCAGGCAGCTTATTCTTTGGTTTATAGTTCAAGGAATAATCAAAGAATGTGCTACGGTTATATGAAGGTAGACAAACACTAAAGAAACCAAAAACCAAAACCAACTTCTCATTAGCCCCTTGAAACTATAAAGTGATACTGACCGAGGAGACAGCACTTTAGAAAATTAACTAGAAATTGACAGACTGACTTTCAACAGGTATTCCCTAAATCTTTCAACCTAGAAGGGAGACAGAAGAGTCAAAAAGTGAGCTTTCTAAGGGCCCTGAACTTCTTAAGATAGCCTCGCACTCTGAAGGCTCTCCGGGGGAGGAGATGCTCACAGTGGCTGGTCCGATGATGGTCACTCCCTTCTGGTCTGCCTTCTTGATCAGCTTCCTGGTGAGGGCCTCGGGGATGCCTTCGGCTATGATGGCGATGGTCCGGATCTGCAGGATGAGAACGGTCCCTTCCTGTTAACTGTCTCCGTCAGGACAATGACACAGCACTGTTCAAGGGCTCACCTCCTGTGCCCCATGTCCCTTTTCAGGGTCTCAGAACAAAGTAATGTTAACAATATGCATCTCCTTCTTCCCACAGGCCCCTGTTCCTACCTTGATCACTCTCTCTCCCGAAAAGGGAGGCGGTGGACACCTGAAACTGATCTCCGCTGGCCACCACAGTGATTGAGTACGCAAGCAGGAGCAAATGCTTCTGAGACCCTCCAAAAGTCACAGCAACTACATTCTCTCTCACCCAAAAACTCAGGCCTGCCGCTTCACTACCTGTCCTTGTGCCTGCTCATAAATCAGCTATCTGTGGCTTTTCTCCACAGGACCCTCCAAGTCTTGACTACATCCCCACAGCGCAGGGCCGCTACGTGGGAGAAATGAGCTGCTTCCACACTCAGCCCAGAGAGTGGGCAGGAGGGCGACGGAAATAATCCAAGAATCATCTCTCTTTGGCTATAAACCAGCGCCAGTGAACTTCTGTAAAGGGTTGACATAGTATTTTAGGCTTTGTGTGTTCTATGGTCTCTGGCAGGCTTTTTTTTTTTTTTTTTTAAGAGATGGGGTCTCACTCTGTCACTTAAGCCAGAGTGCAGTG